AGAGGAGTCACTGTGAGTACAGGAGGTAGGGCCATCGGAGCTGCCACTGTCTTTTCATTGACATCATCGGTAAATGAAGAGTGCATTGATTTTTTTCCCCTTATGAACTTTATGAGTTCATCTCTCTAGGAAAGTCAGCAGCAGCTGTTTTGGATACAGACACATCTGTCTTGCTGTTCTTGACAGCCCTATCATGTTAGTGCTCTGTAGTAGCAGGAGCATTTCAGCAGGAAAATGAAGTGGAATTGAAGTGATGTAGCTACCTCCTGTGGGCATGCTCTCCTCATAGCACACACAGAGAGCAGCTCTGTTACCCCTGGCAGATCAAAAGAGAGATCAAAGCAGGGCCTGCCTAAGTAAAGACAGCTAGATGGAAAAATAGCACCTTTTTTATGATTGCTGGTAATATTAAAATGTATTGAATATTGTAAAATGCAAAACTGATGAGTATATCTGTAAATACGTAGACACTGCCTGGCCCATCTGTTCTAGGTACCAGCTGCACAACACTACTTGGCAGGCTTGTGTCTACCTCTCCCTGTCACAAAGTACTCACTTAAATCAATTTTCCTTTTGGTGAGGTTGGTAACAGGTATGATGACAAGTTTATGTCAGCTCAGAACTTAACGCTCATAGTCATTTGTTTGGTGTGAGCTTGCAGTTTCTGTCAGGATACTGACTCCACTTTTCCCTCTTGTTTCACAGGTGCAACTTCAACACCAGTGCCATGATAATGCTAACTTACTTCTCGAAAACTAATGCCATTGAACTAATGGAGAGATGCTCAGCACTTAAGAGCACTGGCAGCTCGTGCAGAGAACCTGAGTTTGTTTCCCAGCTCTCACATGGAGGCTCACAACTGTCTGTGACTCCAGTTCCAGGGGACTCTTATGCCCTCTGCTGGCCTCCAGGGGCACTGAATGCATGTCGTGCATATATAAACCTAAGTAGAAACATATAAATTCAAATAAATTTTTAACAAAGATAAACTATTGACATTGAAAGAAAAATTATAGTTATAAATAACAATTGAGGACAGAAATATTAACTTAGAACAAGATATACAGTGTTATTCTTTATATTCTTAATATCTTTAGGAGAGGCAAGAAAGACACAGTAGAGTTGCTAAGATAGCTATATGGGCATGGAATATGTTTGAAACAGTGGAGGATCCTGGGATGGAGAAGCAGATGCAATGAGATGAAACCGGGTGACCTCTATTATACTATTCTCTCTGCATGTATAGAAAAGCGGAAGTGTCTCAAGTAGACCTAGCACATCTTATGTAAAACAAACCTCCAACTTCATCTTCTTGGGCTGTGAGAAAGCTCAGTGGGTAAAGGCACCTGCGTCTAAGCCTGAATGCCCGAGTTCAAGATGTTCATAAAATTAAATCTCTAACACCAAGTCCCCATGGGTCCTGCTGAATGCTCTCTTGAGTCATGTTAGGGAAGCTTAAATTTCTAGCCCAAGTTCTAACAAGCTCCCAGGTGCTAGGATTCTGCTGGACTCTGGGTCACACTTGAGGAGCACGGAGAAAGAAAACCACAGCACCCAGTGGCTACTTAACTACAAACAACCCTTTTTTCTATGCAGGTCACTTGGTAGGCACAAATATGAAGAAAATAGTGGCTTTTATTAATATGGGTAAAGGAGAAAGAATATTCATTCATTATCACGCTTCAAAAACCACTGCCCAAACAGTTGAGCCATCACGAGAAAAGAGCCCAGAAGATAATGATGTGAGACAAGACTTAAGGCAGTTTAAATAAATCTCTACTCTCCAGCAGACCTAGTGTTTACATATTAAGGAGCTTTGTACCAGAACTGCGCTGTCATGTTTCTGCCCAGAAGCTGTCAAGATAAAGTTTACTATCAATTACTGCTTTACAAGTATAAAATAAGTTAAGCTGTCATCATTTTCTCTGCCAGAGATCCTAAACTGTCAAAGAATGCCAATTTTTAATCTGACACAGAGAAGAAAATTATCTGTTATTCTGACCTCTAATTTCTTGACATTTTAATGCCATAATTGCTGTGGTTAGTGCTGGTTCATGACTTCACCTGTCAGGGAAGAATGAGTCAATAACCTTAAGCTATTTCTCAAATTTTAGTACTAACTTCAAAGCTGAAAATTCTAGGCAGATCATAGAATTTTTAAACAAAGGGGACATGTTAGTTTTTTATGGTGATGTTTAGCATTTTAAAAAACATTACCTTAATTAGTCAAATTGACATTATAAAACAAACGGAAAAAACTAGCCTTCTTGTGGGTTTATATATTAATGATCTTTGCATTAAAAATATCAAAATAATCTTCTACTTTTTTTTTTTTAGGAATCTGTGCTCAATCTTTCAGACTGAAGCATCTCTCTCAAGTTAGGGTCTAGTTGGGTAGGTCTACAGGGTTCCAAAAGGGATGTTGAAACCAGTACTGCATTTTCCCATGGGTCTTTCTCAGTGATAATGTGCAGGGAGGGCATAAACGACCATCAGCCATAGATGCACTATCTACAGAGCTGTGTCTCACGGCCATGGAGGCTGAGTCTCGCTTTGTAGAGCAGCTGAGATAGTGAGTGAGATTCCACACTCTGGCTCTCTTCAGCTATCCTGGAGCTCTTGAGTGGTTCGTAGCCTTTGTAGAAGACTGCTCTTGAAGCTCGTAAATGGTAGGACAGGACATTTTGTAGGAACATGTTTCATTCTAACTTATTTACTGACACTATTGGGAATGAATGACAGGGAATGATAGTGGGTAATAGGAGAGAAAAAAGTTAATTCGTATTCCTTAAAAGCCCTCAACCTGTTGTTTGCACCACACTAATGGTCTTTTGTTGCCCGTGAGGAGGTGAAGCAGCTTCCCCAGCAATCCTGAATTGCTAGTGATCTTCAAAGCCAGTGCAAACACCTCTGCTGACTTGTGTTAGGGCCTGTGCTGCTGGAGGGAGGAGGTGTGTTACGGGAGCATCACAGCTCTAAGAGACAACAACTCAGACACCTGGGCAAGGACTGAGGAGGAAAGGATGCACAACCTAGTTTGGTTCTGAGGCTGGCAGCAAGTGTTTACTCAGAAGGAGATGCTCAAAGGAGCCAAGTCCTAAACAGAGACATCCGGCCTAGCACTAGACAGTCTGCATTACTTTTTATTATTGGGGTAATAAAAACCCATAATGTAACAGATTCTGTTCAGAGCATCTACATAATAAGCAAACACAAGGCTGGACCCGTTTTTGCCCAGCAAATCAGTGACAAGCACACATTTTGTGCTACAGCTCCCACGGTGCGATGAGTAAGGCTTGTGAACAACTAATTGGCTTTGCCACTGTCCAGAATAATGGCGTGACAGCTGAAGAAGCCGACACCTTCAGTGAGGTTCAAATACGCACTCTAATCATGGAAGGAATAACTCAATTTGAATTCTGGTGTCTTTTTCCTGGCCTATTTGTCTCTTTTTCAACTGACATTTAAGGGAAAAAAAAAAAAACCAAAAAAACAAAAACCCACTTTCCTATCACAATATGAATGATACCCAGTGGTTTTCCTAATATCCAATATGTTCAAATTTGTATTTTGTCTAACATAATCAGCCTCTAATTTCCCCCTTTAAATACAGAACTTTGTTGTAGGTGGGAAAAAGCATAATAAAATACCCAGGACCAAAGATGTCCATGAAGTTTATAAATCAAGTCCAAATTGGAACTGGGCTTGGACTATAAGGATGAACTATTCCAATTTTCTCTTTTCCGATTATAAAATTATTCACTATGGTTGGTTGAGAGAGTGAGTACCCTTGACTCCAGCATTCAGGAGGCAGAGGCAGGTGGGTCTCTCTGAGTTTCAGGCCAGAATGGTCTACACAGTGAGACCCTGTCTACAGAAAAAAATGTTGGAAAAGATGAATTTTGTTTGTAAAAAAATTATAAAATGGGTCTGTTATAGGCAAAGGGGTGCAGCTTTAAAAATTACTTCCCATCAAATAAGCTGATCAAAATTTAGGGATCCCTGAGGGCACTAAATTCGGCAAGTGTAGTGGTCTCTGGAGGATATTTCTCACTTTACAAACAATTTCACCATACCTGGGTTCTCCCTGGATCGCTCACCCTCTATCTGCTCCCACTCCCTTGTGCTTACGCTACTGTGCAACACAGCCTTTAATAACGTGCTTGAGATGTGTTCTCCAAGTGTTCTGCCCCAAGGGATCAGTGATCGTGTGCTCTCTCTTCCTTTTCTTCTCTGCTTGGAGCATGCAAATTGAGTCTTTATTTTATAGGATATGTAAGAAATGGATACAAGATTTTTTAAGAGAGCTTTATTTCCCAAATCTGCACATTTCCTACCTCTGATATGAAAACTGAAAAAGCATCCCAGTGCCTGGAGATGCAGCCACGACGGCTTGTTTTGCATACAACAGATGGCAGACTGCGGGTAGGATGGAGGGCAGGAGTACAGTCTCCTTGCATTAGCACTTACCTAGCAGCTGTTGCATCCTTCTCTGCCCACCTAGCCAAAGTCATTTTATGCATGGGAAGTTATTTAAATGCTATTTAATATGATTATTTTCACTTAAAAATACCTAAAATTCCCAACTGTTAGCTGCAGACTGAGAATTGTTCAGGCTGAGAACAAATGAGAATCAAGTACTACAATAGCATTCACCATACTGGTATAGATCTTTGAATGTTCCTTCTTGAAGGTTGTAAAGTTGGCTTTCGTTTTTAAAAACAAAAACCAAAACCATATTGCTTATTATTTTAGGCAATTACTCATAGTTAAATATTCATCTAAGCCTCACCCATTAATAATATACTTAATTATAAATTTTAATGAAGATTTGGAAGTAAAATTACAGTTCTGCATTAAAGTATTTGAATTTAAAAATCCCAACATATTGGTCACATTGCTTGATTTTGATATATTTCCTTTTTTTCCTCATTTGTCAAAAGCCTGAAACGTATGTGTAAAAGAGTTAGGCTGAAAGATTTGCAGCTCAGGATACCCACCTCCCGGAGCACTGGATCTGTGATGCTGTCCAGGTTTACGGAGGCTTCATAGGTCAAGTAGTGAAAAACATTCAGAGCACGGACAGCCTCGGGCCCTCGTTGTTTGTAGCCAAATATAAGGTCGATCCACTGGTGGAGCTGGCAAGAAACAAATTCACTTTCCAGGGCCTGAAACAAATCAAGGAAAAATGAGACTAAATTTAGCAAGGCTCCATCTCATTTCCTTACTGTGACATATTCAGCGTAAATAAGGACACTGTGCCTTTACATTCTATTTGATTTGTACGTATTAGATCTTCAGTCCTCAGAAGTGGCAGAAGACTATCTTTAATAAGGCACAGAGCTAAGTAAACTTCTCTTCACAAATGTTTGCCATTCTCTAGGCTTCATTATGTACACAACACAAATGTTCATATTAAATACATTTTTTTTTACAAAAACACAACCATGTTCAAAAGAAAATAACTTGCAATAGCTGTTTTAATGCCATTGTATAATAATTTCACTTCTGATTTTTAAACACTAGTTTAAAATTAAACTGTTTTATATGAAACTTTGATATGGGTTTATTTTTTTCTGAATGAACTCCTCCAGCTTGCCTCTAAGATGTTTAGAAAGGAAGACCTTTTTTCCCTTCATCATGCCAGGAATCAAATCAGCTGATACAGACTTTGGGAAGCACCAGGCCATCAGGGACATCTGCTAGTCAGTGGGGGAAAGTAAGTTAGAGGGTCAATGAGCACGGTGTCTGGGAAGGGTTGAGAAGAAGAGGCCCTTTGTGTCTAGCTCTCTTAGACACTCTGAGTTTGGAAATGGCAAGTTAGGCAAGTGTTTGAGTGACTTCCTTAAACAGGCTCGGTGATGTTTTTATTTGTGAGATAATTAGAATGTGATTTTATTTAAGAACCACTAGAAGCTCCCTGGAATCACTAGACAGGTGGGCTGGAGTTGGTTCAGACATGGATGGAAACTGTAGTTGGTGCTCTGCTGTCGGGAGTAATTCACTCCTTCACTTCTGGTCCAATCAGAGCAGGCAGGGTGCCAACCTTGCGCACAGAAAGGTTTGTACTCAGCTTTGCAAGTTCTCTCTGTGTATGACTGTGTTTCATAAACTACAGTAAACGTGTGAATTCACTCTCTGGTTGCTTGCCCTAGTTTTTTAGGTGGTAACCTGTTTTTGGAATTCATATACTTAACAAATAACTTTCAAAGGAATCCTCTCAAAACTGTACTCTCAATAGTGCCTTTTATCTCTTCCCACTTAATACTCCATCCCTGCCATTCTCTTCCTGATTACTTTTTTAAGAGTGCCACTTATAACAATCACTCTGTAGAATTCTTATCCAAAAATCTAAGTACTAAGATTTTGTGAAAATAGCATTTACTTACTAAAAGTAAACAGAATTTTATGCTCCATTTTACTGATATTAAAATAACCATTCAGACCAGAATATGAGCAACGAGACAAAAATAAAATGATCAGTTAAATTTTTGTAGATTATATCTGTTTGTGTAATTTTTGTCAATTCAGTATCATAGTCAATTTAAAAAATGAGTATAATTGTTGGCCATCATGTCAATGCCATTTCTACATGAGAGAAGGATATCTCATGATATATGCTGAATATCATGCAGGGTCACTGTTGAGAGGTCACATTCAAATCTCCTCCCAGGAACTGAGAACAGCTGTGGGATTAATACTTAATGGGAGTTTGGATTGTTTTTAACCACATGATTTGCTAGACAGCAACCATGTAAATAAATCTTAGAGCGACCACTGAAAGATTGACAGACATATTCTGTTAGGATAAAGTCATTATTGAATAAAATGGCTAACTCAATAATGAGGGACAGAGAGAATAATGCCTTTCCAGTACTCTGAGTTTTTAAAATGCGTTTATTCATCTCAGGACCCCTCTTTGCCTTCCTATTCCACCACTGGCAACAATGGTTAATGATTCCCGCTGCTCTGAAGAAACATCCTCTGTTGTGTGTGTGTCTGCTCTAGAGCCACGGCCTAGGACCTCATTCTTTCCTGTATGCCTGAGATCTGCCTATGGCAGCCTGTGTGCCGCCAGTTCACTGTTCCTCACACTGCAGGGACAGCCCGGGGGACACAGGCTGTGCCCATTTCCCTCCCACAGCTCTCGGATGGGTGTGAATTTCATCTGGAATAGACTAGTGCCTCACCTTCCACTCATGGTTTTAGTTTCCTCCTCCCAAGTCACTGCTGTTCTTTAGAAAGGCTGTCCTGTATCCAGTCCTAATCGTCCATAGTGCCTCAATATGCAGCCCCCTTTGGTGTGACCATGTTTCTAATTGTGGCTATTATGATAGATACAAAATGATAACTGTTTTAGCTTATAGTCCTCTGATTACTAAAAAATTAGATATTTTAAAGAAATGTTTATTGGTCTTCTGGGTATCCTAGAAATTACTTATCAAACCCTCTGTTCACTTTATTAATTTTTTTAAAAACTGTTTTCTCTGTGTAGCCCTGGAACTCACTCTGTGGACCAGGCTGGCTTTGAACTGAATGTTCCCATGCTCATGTATGTGCCCTTTGATGCCAGAATACCATATCCCATTTCCTGGAACTGGAAGTTACAGGTGGTTGTGTGCAGTTGCATGTGGGAGCTGAGACCTGAATCTGGGTCCTGCAAGAGCAGCAAATACTTTTAGCATCTTAGCAAATGTATATGAAGTTGCACTTGCTCTTTTATTTTTCTTAATTTCCCCTTTAATTACTGTTGGAATCACAATCCTATTACCCTCCTAAAATGGCTTTCCATGATTTCTGGGGGGCACTCTGTATAAGAATTGAGTTCATTATCTCTTGAAAATTTCAGTAGAATTCACCTAAAAATAGAAGCTTTGGATTTTTCTGAGAGTGTAGAGAAATTTCACTCAATTTCTGTAAGGCTTCTAGGCATCCATTTTTATATTTTAATATCTTGCTTGGTATTAATCCATTTCCTCTCAGCTTTGAATCTTATTAGTTCATAGTTTTCATAATAAATTTAATGAAACTCAAAATCTTTCTGCTATCTACTGTTATTTGCTCCAGTGTAGTCTACACAATAGAGGCAGCATGATGAATCAACTGACAACGGCAGTTAAATGCTCTGGATAGCTTAGTTTTTTCGTTCATAAAATTAAATGAGGTAGGAGTGAAGATGACAAGTCTTATTAATAACTACCTTGTTCATCACTATGAAAGAGGAAAAGAAAACCCAAGTTTAGAACACTTGAAAGCTAAATCCAGTTCAAAGTCAAATGCATATCCAGGAACTGGATATTAACTGTCACCTCACGTGGAGCGGAAGTCCACTCCACGGCTGCTCACTGCACTTCAAACGGTACTTACCTGCTACTGAACACATGCCTGTGCTCATTTGTTTTTTTTTTTCAGAGCTTTTTTTGCATGCACAGACACACATTACACTTTGAAATAAGATTTTAGTACAGTGCTTACGCTGGAAAATATGAAAAAATACTCGATTACTAAGCTATTAGTGTTGTAATGGCCCTAATAGCTTCTTGAACATCTCCTTGCACATCTCGAGGCAGAGGCAATTGCTTTAAGCCTAGATAACCCAATTTCCAATCCATAAGTCTACCCTGGGGATGGGGAAGGAAGGAAGTGAAGGGAGATATGCAGTAGAGTGGTGTCTTTCAGATGGATAGCACCTACCTAAATCTCATCCCCATCTCTGCCCATGGGAATTACATGGGAAGTCTTACACTAATGCACTTGGGATAAAGCCTCTCTAAAACTCAGGAAAACGAAAAAAGGAAATTTACTGTGTGAATTCTTTTATATACTGGAATGCAATTTCTACCTCTTCTATACTAAGTAAAACAGACAGAAATCTTAAATAAATAAATAAATAAATAAATAAAAATTACAGATTTTTAAAGAAACTTAGATTGACTGTACATTTCTCCCTATATTTGCAGTGATTTGTACTCTATGGATGATCTTTTATATGTGGTATATTTAAATAAATCTATTATCTTTTCAAAAAAATACATCCATCCTTTTATTCTATCAAAGATCTGTTTTCAGTAAAAAAAAAAAAAAAACTCTCTGAATACCTGTATTCAAGCAGATAATGAGAAAAGCATTCAAGTTCCTCTAATGTCTAGGCTAGCTTTTTTCTCCCATGATTGCATTGAAATTTTAGTAACTGTAACTTTAGTTACTCAATTACTGTTTTAAATAAACATAATTGGACATATATTTGTGTTATATTTATGTTTTGTGTTATATACATAATATGTTTTAAATAAACTTAATTGGACATATACATACATACATACATACACACATATACACACACACATATATGGTCATGTTATGTGGCATAGGCCAGATTTAAACTTATCATGGGTCCCAGGCTGGGCTTGAACTCTCAGTGCTTCTCCTGTCTCAGTAACCTGAGTGCTGGGATAATATGCCTAGTTCAACAAAACTGCTTTAAATGATTGTGGTGGGTAATGTGTGTTAAAATATTCTACAAATAGCCTTAAATTACATGATTGATGGCTGGATGTACTATAACCCAAGATGATTTCCTGGGTCTCCCTGCCTACAAATGGCTCACTACAATACAACTGACTTCTTTCTCTAACCCCAGTGCATGGAAGCCTATTCATGGAGCAGACTTCAAAAACCAACCATTTTCTTACACCCTAACCTCACCAGGTTCCTCCATGCTTAACTTAGTCAGCATATCCCTGCACACCCCAGCCTTTCAAACTCTTCATTGCTGCCTCTGGAATTTTTCAGGGTATTCTAATACAGATAAAGACTCCATGGGGGCATAGGGCACAGAACCTAGGTCTGATCCCATGTCTTTCTGCCCCTTTCTCATTGGCCGGAGAGCCACTTCATCTTGTGTATTTCTGAGTTGAACCCATTCTTGTCAGGTGTTTATTCTTTCACTTGTCTTTTCTTCTGTGAGAAAAGGGGGCATGCATGCTCTTCACAAACATCCTCTTGTCATAACACAGTGGCAGCACACACAGTTACCTGTGAAATCTATTTACATACAAATTGGAAAGTGCAATACAAAAATAAGGGATTATTACCAAGTAACACTTCATTGTTTCAAAAGTATAGTGCGCATCCTCAGTTAGAGAGCATGCCTTGGAGACAGACAGTG